GAAAAAGAAAAAAAGAAACAGAGCCAAGGCTACTGGGAGACCTTCGTGGCTAATGACTGCTCATTTGGTCCTGCAAAAGATTCAGGGCAGGAGATGGTAGGAACTGTGATACCCACACCTGCCCTCCGCAGTCATGGCAGAGTTTGGATCTGGATTTGGACTGGAGAGGAGGGTGGAGCAGAGGGCCCGGCCCCACCAGGTGCTTTTCATTTGGAGACATGTGTCCTGGATTTTCAACTTCCTATAATCTGATTATTTTCAATGAAGGCAATTTGTTAGACATCTGATTTCAAGTTTGGAAAATATGACCACTAGACTTATGATGAGTCCAAGGAAAGTGCTAGAAACAACACAATATGAGCATAGCCCTTGTACCCTCAACCCATAGCCTGTGTCCATCGTGTCACAGGCACCAAGGAAAACTTTTAGGAGTTTATTTAGGAAGTTGGAAACACTTTATTAGGACAAGTATTTGGGGGAGGAGTAGGTTAGAACATGGCAGAGTCTTCCATTAGAAAATAGAACTCGGGGCAAACTTGGCAGTGGAAAGGGGCAGCGCTTTGCAAACATGGCATGGGAGCCCTCAGCCATGATAGAAGGACCCCCCCCCCCCCAGGCAGCCTGATGTGCATCCTGGACAAACTGTGAGAGAGGCCCGAGAGTTGGTAACACAGGCTTGGGGCTCCAAGATGTCTCATGGGTCTTTGAGAGAAGGTAGGAGAAAAAAGAAGAGAATGGGCCTCAGGTGCAGGAAGAATGCAGGTGCAGTTCAGAGTGAGGGGGCGGGGTGCAGCCCAAAGGCAGGGGGACCATGGTGCCTGGGGGAAGAGCGGGAAGGCGTGGGGGCAGCAGCAGTCAGCACGGCCTGGGAGGAAGTCACAGAAGGGAAGAGCCAAATGAAAGGAAAACAGCAGGGCCCTGCAGTGCTGGCACCCCTTCCGGGCGCCAGTTCGAGTCCTGGCTGCTCCAGTTCTGATCCAGCTTTCTGCTTATGGCCTGGGAAAGCAATAGAAATGGCCCAAGTGCTTAGGCCCCTGCACCCATGTAGGAGATCTGGAAGAAGCTCCTGGCTCCTGGCTTCAGATTGGCCCAGCTCCAGTGGTTGCAGCCATTTGAAGAATGAAGCAATGGATGGAAGACCTCTCTCTCTGTCTGTAACCCTGCCTCTCCTAAATAAATAAATCTTTTAAAATATATAGAAAATGAAAACAGCAGCTCCCCCATGCCTGCAGCTCCCATCAAGAATATTTGTTATTCTTCTGGGAGCCCAGTTAGTTTTTGGTTTTCTGGGAAAACCAGGTTGTAGCTAACTAGGGGTCTGTTCCTTGCATTGTCTGCTGCAAATTTTAGGGCCACACCTGTTGCCTGCTATGGGTGTCCAGCATGAAGGCTTTGGAGTGCCTGTGACTGCGTTAGGGTCTTTCCTTCATTGGTATTCTTGCCTCCTCCCAGCTCTGCTCTGCTAGATACATCCCTGTGAGTAGATCAAGCCCTTTGGAATGAGAGAAGCATGACTGTCAGGTAGAAAGAAGCCCCCGTGGCAGAGGGATACAGAAGGGGAGCTCAGAGAGAACAGGAGAGGAGAAGGTGTTCAAAGGAAGCCTTCAAAGACTGACCTCACCTGAGTTGGGAAAATCACCCATTATGACAGCAACGAGGGGCCCAGTTACGGTGTCTGGGAGGTCAGTCTACTTGGAGGACCTTAGGTCATGGGGGGGGGTGCATCCTCATAGGGTAGAGCTCCAGAGGGTTGAGTATAAAAGCCAAGTGGGGCTTGTCTGTTTTTTCTGAGCTTCCTGGCTCACTAGGAGACCCTCCCTCTGCATGCATGCTGCCACCCACTGCCTTCATCAGATGCCAAACCAATGGGGTCTCCTGGTCTTGGACTGTGAACCCCCAAAACTGTGAGCCAAAGTAAATTCCCTTCTTCCCCAAACAGCTTCTCTTAGGTATTGTTACAGTGATGAAAGATGGCAAATACACTCAAACTCGTAGCCACTCCATGCAGTCTGTGCTTTTGGAATGAATAACTGAGTGGCAGAACATACAAACTAACAGACAGTTTAGGTTGTAGCTGGGGATGGCTCTCCCACGCATGGGAACTTGTGAGGCTCTGGGGAACAACAGAACAATTTTGAATGGTGGTTCCTGTAGCTACAAGAGGAGGGGAGAGATGGTCTACCCTGTAGAAACATGTTGCAGTGTTTTTTTTTTTTCTTCTCCTTTTGAGAGGGCAGGAAGGAGCCACAACCATAGCCAGTGTGTGCCTGGGGGCTGGGGGCTTCATGGGGAGGCAGCGCTGTGCTCAAGAGAAAAACCTTTGACAACACAAGAGGAACAATGTGAAGGCAGGATGTTGGGGAGATACATGCGGAGCTGAAGTTCCAGCGGGCAATGGTGCAGGGAGGCTGGGGTCGCATGTGGACGCCCTTGCAGGTCTCTGGGGAGGCCGCTGGCCATGGAGCTCTGACACCACAGACAGTGGTTTTGGGGTCTGTGTGGGCTGCGACCATGGAGCCAGCTCATTGCAGGTACAATGCTGATCTCCACAGAGGTGCAAACCCTGCAGGAGCCTTGGCCTCTGCCTTGCTGAGCCTAAGAACTTTTGACCACAACTGGGAGGTGTAGCAAGGGGAAGAAGGGAAAGTAAGGGGAGGGGAAAAGGGTGGGCAAGTGATGGTTACAACCAAGGAACACGTGGGGTGGGGCAGCACGTCTGGGAGACAGGCTCTCTGAGGAGGCAGAAAATGCCAGGGCTTTGAAATGTGCAAATGAGTTAGGGGAAGAAGGAGTCACAGGGGTGAAACCCATGACAGAGAAAAACATGGTGAAACAGAAGAAGGGGAAACAATGAAAATTGGAGAGTATTGAGTTTATAAGAAATTGATATGCAGTATTCAGTGGAAAGTGTTGCTTTGGCTTTGAGATGAGAGAACTGAAAATGCGGATAATATGTAAATGCCAATTATAATTTTAAAAACCTGGATGGCTCAAATGAGATAATATTTCTGAGGGCGCTTGGACAAGTACACAGAGAGATGTTTGTGGCCGAGATGAAAGGACTCTGGAGGAGTTGAAGAGCCAGCTTGGCCCCCTGGCGGGAGGACAAATCCCCAGAGCTCTCTCATCTGTCTCTGGGTCCTCAGCTGGGAAAAGGCATTGACCACTCTTTCCTGCTCCAAGAGGCCCAAGAGTTTTCCAGGGCAGACACAACAAAGTCCCACAAACTGGGTGACTGAAGACAAGTGAGGTTTTCCCTTACAGTTCTGAGGACGGGCGTCCAGGACCAAGATGTCGGCAGGTGCCCTTCCTTGCCTCGTCCAGCGTCTCCAAAGCCAACCACATGTCCCTTGGCCATGGCAGCATCATCCCCTCTCTCCCTTGCACCTCTGTGTGTCCCCTCCTCTTAGAAGGACACCATCATTGGTGCTGGGGGCCACACTAAATCCAGCACCAACTTTTCTCAAGATCCCTACTAGTTCCATCTGTGAAGACTGTATTTTCAAGCAAGGTCATGTGCCGAGATTCAAGATGGACATGGGATTTGGGGGGACACTATTTAGCCCACTACACAGGGTGCAAGCAGCAAAGGAACAAGAGCTGAGTATATTTGAAGTATTTTCCAACTGTCTTCTTCTTGTCCCCAAACGGTTACTCCCCCAACAGTTCCCTCAACGGGCACTTCTAACAGCTACCATTGTCCACGGGCAAGCCTCCCAGGCTGGCACTGCAGGCTCTGTTCCCGGCTTTTTCTCACCCTTCCCGTGTCCTCCACTCCATGGTCCCAGTTCTCTGGCGCCCCCTAATCCTTACGACCTACGAGAAATTCCCCTTGTGAAGTTATTGCCCAAGACTCTGTGGTAAATTCTTCCTGCTCTGAACACCTTGGGCGGAAGCTGTTCTGTCCTTTCCCCTGGACAGCATCAGCTCCCTGCCTCTTCAGTTAAGCCTTCATGTACTCCTTGTCTTGTTATTTCACTTGCAAATTTGAGCTTTCCTTCTGCACCAGCTGACACTGAAGACTGGGAGAATGGTTTTCCTTTGTTCAAGCTCCCAGAATCTGGTTCAGGAACTGCTACAGAATTACTGACTTCCCTCTGCACCAACTCTATTCCCACCAGCATTTCTTCTCTGTTAATCCACACGCAGACGCCTTTCCTGGTTACCTGGGTCCAGAGAGGTATCTTTCTCCTCTGAATTCATGCAGTAGCTGGCACGCACTTCCTTGTTGTGGTCCATGGTATGTCTCACTCTGCTTGTTCATTCACAAAGATCTATGAGCTATTTCTTTGACTTGGCTTTGAGCAAGGTGCCAGGTGGCTGGCTTGTGAGCCCACCTTACCCTTCCGTGCTGAGAGCAAGGACCCTCACTTACCCTCCTTTTCCTCACCGGGCTGAACATGGTCTTCATGAGATGGCCCTGTTCAAGCAGCCTTAGCTATTCTTAATGGGCAGTGGCAAAGGAGGAACTGAGAATGCATGAGCTTGAATGAGGGGCTCAGACTCAATGTTGGAAAAGAGGAGCTAATGGAGGCTGAGCTAGGCTTGGAGAGGCAGCTTCTCCAGCCCCTTGGCACTTGCAGCTGGGAGAATACACAGAGCCAGACATTTGCTGTCAGCGTTTGCCAAGTGGCCTCTGGGTGATGCGGGGAGAGATTTTGCAGGGTCCAGAAGGAAGTGGGGAATGTGTGTTCCAATGTGAACACAGGCAGGGCCATGCCTTCAGGACAAACGATGGTAGCGGGGACATTTCCGTGAGGTGTGTGGTGCTGAGCTATCAGGCAACCCGGTTCAGTAAGAGTCTCCACCAGCCTTTCCTCCTGCATGAGCGAGACAGCAGCATCCCCAGCCTCTTACCTGTGTCGTGGGAGATGTGGATTGGGCAAAGAACAAGCAGCACTGTTCCAGATGCTTCTCTAGCTGAGCCCTGGGCAAACTGAAGATGACCTGGGCAGGGAGCAGACATTGCCTGGAACTCTTGGGGGAAGACAATCACTTACCAGCATTGTTCTGCTGCTTGGTGTTTTTGATGTAGGCAGAGAACTTGGAGAAGATGTCGATGCCTGCTGTGTTGGATTCCCGGTGTTTCGCAGCCAGTTTGGGATACCTGGAATGGAAGACATGCTTTCCATGACTCAGGGAGACTTGGAGCTCCTTTAAAGGGGAGTGGGTCTCCACCAGGATGGGCAACACTGCCTTTCTTAGCTGGATCTACACATGGGTTGGGGTTTTCATACTCATTTTATAGGGCAGTAGACACTTAGCCCATTTTCACCCATCAAGGAAACCAGAAGCCAGTGTGGCACTGAAAGTTGCCCAAGGTAATACAGTCTGTTGGCAAGGAGATGGAATGCCACTCAGACTCTGGGTGTGACAACTTCAGGGACCACAACAAGTGATGTGCCAATGAACAGGCTCTAATCCAACTTCCAGCTGAGCTGACCTCTGTATCAGGGAGGGGCTCTACCCACTCTGAAGTAGCCACCCACTGCCAGCTCTGTGATAACTGCACAAAGCTGACTCTAGGAGCAAGGAGACGCGAGGCACTTGGTACCAAGTCCTCTATACTTTTTATCTAAGGGAATAACAACCTGGCCCTCATCTGACATGTTCTTCATAGGTGATTACATGTGTGCAGTTGTATGCTGTGAAAATCACCTTGCTCTATCAATAGGTCAGGTCTTATTTCCACATGTAGCAAAAGGATTGCAGGGACCCAGCCCTTTTCTCCCCTTTAATAGCCTTTCATTCTGAAGTCAGAAGAATACAAGAGGGAGGCAGGAGTTAGAACAATTGGCCTTGAGACTGAACGAGGTCCACTTGCTTGTGTGGGAGTTGTGGCTTTGATCTATTAGCACCATCAAAAGTTCTTATTAAAATTATTATTTCATACTCACTAAAATTGTGGGTGTGCATGGTGAGGCAGGCATGGGAGGAGATATAGGATGGTGGCCTGGCTCTCATTATTATTGATGAATTATCAATTGAGCCCTTTGGGTGCTTTATGTTTACAAAGCAAAATCTTTTTTGTTGTTGTTTGGTTTATTTTAATATCTTAAGTAGTTTGCAAACATTGAAAAATGATTAGTTGTTCTTTCAACTTTTTGTTCTTCAACTGGCCCATTGGCTGGGACTGGCCACTCTTAAGGCCACAGCAGGTGGCCGTTTAATGTCAGAGATCTGGCATCAGAGGAGTCCTCAGCAGTCCATCAGTCCAGCCCTCTGCCTTCAGGCGGACAGGAAGGCATGGGTGTCCTCACTTCACGGAGAAAGTGAGTGGAAACCTGAGAAGTTACATGAGGATTTCAGGGCCCAAGGCTAACAGATAGTGGAGGGACAATGAGACCCTGGGTCCTTGACCCTAGAGCAGTGTTCTTCCCGCTGGGTCACACTGCTGCTCTAAGAGCAGTACAAGTTAACTCATGCCCAGCACCCGCTATGCGCCAGGCACGGTTCTAACCCTCCACCACTATTTGTGATTTATTCATTACAACTCTATTGGCACTATTACTCTCAATTCCCACACGTCGTAATTGCAGCACCTTCAAAGTCCCAAGGCCCTTAAGGCTGGGTGGAATTCTGTGGAGGAGCTGTCCACATCCACCAGAAGGGGGCGCTCTGCAGAGTCTGCACACCATCTTCCTGGCAAACTGAGAATTAGGAAATTCAGCTGCTGTGAGGCAAGGTTTTCATAAGATGATAGGTAATCTGTCAGAACAATGGGGAGTTACGTCATCTCTCCCTAGTTTGGCTTTCTCGTATAGAATCTGCTGAGCTATTAAAATAGAATTATTATTCATTAATACCAAGTACTTCCTGTTTCTCCTTGATAATGTAGAGAGAAGGGCATAGGAAATTCTTTTCAGTGGTCAATTTGTTTGGGTTGGTTGCTATATTTGCTCTAGGTAATCATTTGATCCAACTTCTGGGATTCTGACTTTTTCTTCACTATCATGGTGTGCCCAACACGGATGCATGGCACCCAATCCAAGATGGATATCAAAGGGCCTTGTACTCCCAGGGGGCTGGGGTAGAGTGATCCTGTGTCCTAAGTGCTGTGACTCTTGTGGGGACCTCACTGTACAGCACAACGTTCCATCTGAAGTTCGTTCCTGAGAGAAGTGTGTCTCTGAGATGTGACTCTCATAAATGTGAGTACCTGACTTGGGCTAACACGTGCATTCATTTTAGCTCCATATTTGTGCTGCATTTTAAATATGCAAACAAGGGGGCTACAGGCTATTTCTAGCAAACAGTGTCTCACCCCTAGGAATATCTTCAAATTTAACCTTGAGATGTGGGCTGATGACAATCAATCTTCTCTAGCCTGGAGATCAGGAAACTATGGTTAAGACCTCTGTTGATGGACAGCCCATAAGCTAACAAAAGCTACGTATTTTTAAATGGTGGAAAGAGAATGAGAAGAGTACCATTTTTGGGGCATGTGAAAAAAATGACAATCAAATTGTAATGTTCACAAAGTTGCATCAGGACACAGCCACATTCATTCATTTATGTATGGGCTACAGCTGTATCAACTGCAAAACCAGGATCTGTGATAGTCCACAAAGCCAAAAATATTTACTATCTGGCCTTCTACAGATAAAGTGTGCTGACCGCTAATCTAAATGATGGAAATTTCTTTCCACTCTGCTTTTAAAATCTATTTCAAACACACCCATCATAGATGTGCACTTAAGCTTTACTCTGGGAAGCAAAACAGTCACACACACACACACATACACACACAGACACACATTTTTTTAAAGATAGAAAATAGTAGCAACAAATTTGAGAAGACTGCTGCTTACAATAGCTCCGATTTGTTAGAGGCTCAGCTGACTTCTCACTGACCTGACACAGGCCCCCATGTCACTGAAGAGAAGGACCCCAGGCAGTCACCGACATGCCTTAAACGTGTACTGGGAGCCAGGCTCTGCACCTGCTTTGGGGGGTGCACTGGAGAAAGGGAGAGATGAGGTGATCTTTGCTCATTCTGGAGACTCTCCTGGCACCCCGAGGGTTGACTCCTCCTTTTCTAAGAAGGGCTAAAAGGTGGAAGGACCGCCCGGGTCGGTCTCCCGTCTTGATTCTGCTTTCTCACTTCACTGACCCTTCCTGGGAGAAGCAGGTTAAGGCTTCTGAGTTTTCCGATCCTTAACTGCGTGCTAGTTCATCTGGTCTATGCTGTTTAAGGCTAAGGTCCTGGAAAGGGTCTGGCTTATTCAGGGAAATGCATCCCCAAAAGATTCGTGGTCTAAGATGAAGGCTATCTGTGCTCCTTATATGACTTCTCCTGGGAGATAAAAAAGAGGCAGCGACCTTCCTTTCCAATGCTTTCAGCCGTCATTGAATGAGCTTTCGCTGTACGTCAGGTGCTGGATTAAGTAGTGGTATCTTGCACAGTAACTTCTCCAATGTCGTTAGGACGGTCCTTGTTTTATAGTTGTGAGAACTAAGGGACTGAGAGGTGCTGGATAATTTCCTGCAGTGGAGACCCCTCACACTCAGTATGTTTGCTGCTATTCGTCCCCAGCTTCTCTCAGTTAGGGTGGGGTCCTGGCCAATGGGAAGGAAGGGGAAATGATGCAACTGGGTACAGCCCTGGTCCTTAAAAACACTTGGCATAATTGCTCTTCTCCCTTTTTTTTAAAGGAGCCTCGAAAGCTATGTGTTCAAAGCTACCCAATCAGACCTTGCTGGAGTGAGAAATTATCCCAGCTTCTGTTAAGCCACTGATACTTTGTGGCTCATTTGCTACTGCAGAATAGCCCAACCTAGAGGTGTGGATTTGAACCTTGGTCTCTGATACCTAAGCTGCACTCTCAGCCACCATGCCAGCCTGTGGGAGGGGAGCTGGTTGTTTCTCCACCTCCCACAAGGCTAGAAGAACATTCTAGTTTCCTGCTCACTGTTGTGAGCTATCTCTATACAATTTTTTTAAAGAATTATTTTACTTATTTGAAAAACAGAGTTACAGAGAGAGGTAGAAACAGAGAGAGAGGTCTTCCATTTGCTGGTTCACTTTCCAAATGATTGCAATGATCAGAGCTGAGCTGATCTGAAGCCAGGATCCAGGAGCTTCTTCCAAGCCTCCCATGTGGGTGCAGGGGCCCAAGGACTTGGGCCATCTTCTACTGCTTTCCCAGGCCATAGCAGAGAGCTGGACTGGAAGAGGAGCAGCAGGGACTCAAACCGGTGCCCATATGGGATGCCGGCGTTGCAGGCTGGGGCTTTAACCCACTGAGCCACAGCGCCGGCCCCTCTATACAATTTAAAAAATAATGAACTCAAAGCATCTTCCAAATTCTACCCAGGTTCTGAACCTTGGTGTACTCCATGCACACTTGCAAATTAATGAAATGATATGCTGTGTTGCAAGGCTTTATCAGTTTACCCTCCTAAATTTTTATCACAGCATTGATACATGAGGATTATTTTAAACAATGGCCAGCTCTGGGAGAGCTCTTTGGGAAACTCCTAGGCTGGTAGAACTTGGCCTGAGGGCCGGCGCCGTGGCTCACTAGGCTAATCCTCCACCTTGCGGCGCCGGCACACCGGGTTCTAGTCCCGGTCGGGGCGCCGGATTCTGTCCCGGTTGCCCCTCTTCCAGGCCAGCTCTCTGCTATGGCCAGGGAGTGCAGTGGAGGATGGCCCAGGTGCTTGGGCCCTGCACCCCATGGGAGACCAGGAAAAGCACCTGGATCCTGGCTCCTGCCATCGGATCAGCGTGGTGCGCCGGCTGCAGCGGCGGCCATTGGAGGGTGAACCAACAGCAATGGAAGACCTTTCTCTCTCTGTCTCTCTCTCTCACTGTCCACTCTGCCTGTCAAAAAAAAAAAAAAAAAAAAAAAAAGAACTTGGCCTGAGAAGCATCTTGGAGACTATGAAGTTTTTCCACCTTAATTTTAGAGATGAATAAACAAGTGGGATCTGAGGTGGAGAGAGGCTTGTCCAAGGTCCTACAGTGGGGTCTACAATGGGCAGAGAGGTGGCCAGAGCTAGATCTCCTGACTTTATTCTAGGTCATAGAAACTGATCATTCCTTGGAGATGAAAGGCAAGGGCAGCTTGTCTCAAAGTCATCCTAGCCCTGAGCCCAACACTGCCTCATTGAGCTGCAACTCTGTCAGTCCACGGAAACAGAGGCACATTAGTCGCACTTAGCAAAGACTTGAGGGGCTAGCTCTGTGTCATAAAGAGTAAAGCTGTTGCCTGCAGTGCCCGCATCCCATATGGGTGCTGATTCGAGTCCCAGCTGCTCCACTTCTGATTCAGCTCTCTGCTACAGCCTAGGAAAGCAGCAGAAGATGGTCCAAGTCCTTGGGCCCCTGCACCCACATGGGAGACCTGGAAAAATCTCCAGGCTCCTGGCTTTGGATCAGCGCAGTTCTGGCTGTTGTGGCCATTTGGGGACTGAACCAGCAGATGGAAGACCTCTCTCTCTCTCTCTCTACATCTACCTCTGTAACTCTGCCTTTCAAATAAATAAGTAAATCTTTAAAAAAAAAAAAGACAAGACTCAAGACCTCCTGGATTCCTCGTTTTGACACCAAATGCTCTATGGAATCAAATGCGATTTAAAAAAATGTTGGCGCATTTGTATGTGGTTTTCTCCTTTAGAAAATAAAGCTAAAGCAAGAAAAAAAAAGGCTCCCACAACATCTTGGCTGTCTGGCAACTTTGACAAACAATGATGTGATGAGAAACACATGGCAGGCCTGTGTCTGGCGAACACTTACGATCATTTTTGCTGCCCCTACAGGACCAGGAAGCCAGGCTGTCCTGCTCTTGGGGCCTCAGAAGACACCCAGCTCAGCCCATAGGTTGAGGTAGGCAGCACAGGCTGGTAGCCTGTTGTGGGAAGCTGGTCTGTCAACTGGGGCTGTGGCACGAATATGGTAACATTTACTGAGAAGTAATTGGGGGACCTGCCTGAGGCTAATGGCTATAAAGACATGTAAGGGACCCTCTTGGGGGGGCTTCAGCATGGTGGACGTGCACTTGAACAGCTTTGAGGAGTGCTGCATCACTGGGTCACCAGCCAGGCAGAAATGTACATCCCAAAACCTCCTGCAGAGCTGCAGACCAGAGAAGGACTTGAACCAGAGGAAGCAGGGTTCAGGACAGGCCATGTGGGTGGAGCGGATAGGGAGAAGAGACCAACTTCCATCTCTCCCACAGGGTGGCACGGTGGCTGAGAAAGTGGCTTACATGTCAGAGACTAGGGTTCAAATCCACACCACTAGGTTGTGCTATTCAGCAGTAACAAGCTGTCCACAGAGTCTCAGTGGCTTAATAGTACACAGGCTTATTTCTCACTCCAGCAAGGTGTGAGCGAGTAGAACGGCCCTCTTCCATCTGGTAGCTTTCGGAACACATAGCCTTCACGGCTGCTTAAGCAGGAAAATAAGGAAGAAGAAGGAACATGCCAAGCATTTGTAAGGGCCAGAGATGTAACCAAGTTCATTTCCTCTTCCTTTCCATTGGCCAGAAACCAGTCACAGGTCCCACCCTAATGGAAAGAAGCCTGAGAACATAGAGAAGTCCATAGATACTGAGTATGTGTAGTCTCTGCTACAGGCAAATTACACAACACCTGTGCAACAAGGTCCAGCCTGCTGATCTAAGTAGGTTGTTGTGCAAGACACTACTGCTTAGTCTACTGCCTGACGTGGAGAATCTGCTGAGACGGTGGCGACTCTGAGGATGACCCTTCTCGGAAAGATAGTTCAAAAACACGCGGAACATACGATAATGGGACCCCTTGGCCCCACGGTGGCTGCAGATTGGAGTCCCGTGAGTTACACAAACAGCCTGCGAAAGGCGTGGCTGGATTGCCAAGTGGGCGGGGGCCTGGGAGCTTGGTTTAAGTGGGTGTAAGAATCTGAGAGCAGAAAGGCTCCTTCAGAGTCACCTTTCACCTTCAGAGGCCAAGGTCACAGAAGGCATGAGTGCAAGAGGTCTCAGCACATCTCCAGCAGAGCTAGGAGCAGACCTCCGGCCCACACCTCAATGTCCAGTAGCCTGGCAAAAAGACCCGTGGGACTGTGGACCCCCATGGCCTCAGCTTCCTGTTCCCCAGTGGTCTGGTGGAGGAGTCGCCCTGAGTGCATTACTGCTAGAAAGGGAAGTGTTAGCTTCTCCCTGGGCTTTCTTCTCTGGGCCTCCCAGGCAAAGTCTGAAGTCCAGCTATTGAATACAGCCTTGCTTTTGCCCAAGTGGGTTTTAAGCCAGTGCCAGCTGTGAGGTGGAGTTTCAGGGAAGGGAGGTGGAGCCTGGGTCCCCTCGGGGCACCTCCAGCCAGGGGCTGGCTAGCTGGCTGGTGTCCTGTTCAGAGAGACGTGTGTGGCTTCCTGTGGTGGCCAAGCTGAGTGTTACACAGGGGGCTGGCCCGTTGATTTCATGAATGCGTTTATTTCAAGTCTGTGCTCAGCTGCTACCAATGTGCCGGAGGCAGCTTTATGTGAAAATAAACTGAGCTAATCAGGATGACAAAGAGTACTTTTAAGGAAGACTGTATGATTGTTTAAGGTTGAGTCACAGCCTCACCAGGAGCTTTCATTTTTTAACAGGAACTCACTAGATGAGCGACCTTGGGCTAGGTCCTTAATCTGTGGGGGCCCCAGCTGTCAAATGAGCATGATATCCCCTACCGCCGAGGGCTTGAGTGAGGATGAAATGAGTCCTATTAGTTAAGTGCCACATAAAAAGTATAAGTGCTGATAAACAAATAATAAATCTAGGGCCAGCACTGTGGTGCAGTAGGTTAAATCATGGCCTCCAGTGCCAGCATCCCACATGGGCACAGGTTCAAGTTCCCGCTGCTCCACTTCCTATCCAGCTAATGTGCCTGGGAAAGCAGTGGAGGATGGCCCAAGTCCTCGGGACCCCACACCCTTGGAGACCTGAAGAAACTCCTGGCTCCTGGTTCCAGCCTGGCAGAGCCCTGGCCATTGTGGCCATTTGGGGAATGAACCAGCAGATGGAGGGTCTCTATCCCTTCAAGTGACTCTTAAAACTGAGTCTCTAACTCATTGGCTTAGACCCTTTTGGTGGCCGTCCTATGAGAAAAAGTCCACGCCTGACTCAGGATGCGGTGTCATTTCCCCAGATTTCTTCAGATGGTGCTGGTTGGGACTCTGCCAGGAACAAGCCCAGCCTCTGTAACTTTTCCAAACCAACACCGCTTTTCTTGCTACCCCTCTTTTCCATCAATAGCAGCTATCCAACCAACGAGAACTTCCAGTGCTCCGGCTGTCCCCTCTTCCCTGTCCCTGTTTCCTGAAGGGGAGCTGCTTTCAGTCAGGGATTTTGTCTGTCTCACTGTGGGGTCAGACCCGGACGGGCCCTTGGTGTGGCCGTGAGTCACTGGGTTTCCCTATCCTGGCTTGTTTTCATTTTGTCAACTTTTCAGCTCTTGTTCTGGAGCCTTGGCACACCCTTCAAGGTCTTGCAGGCAAAGTGAACTGGAGAGAGGGGCATCCTCTGGGGTGTGGGTAGGGTGGTAACCTTCCTAACGCTCCCTGCTTGGGAGGGACTGACCGGCTCCACTCACAGGCCCTGTGGATTGAGTGGTGCTTTGTTGAGATTGACAGCCCTTTGCCGGGGGGTGGTCCTCAACTCTCGGTTTGAAAAGAGGGCCCTGTGCTCTGGGTTCTTGAGGCTCCTTTGGAAATCTGCACCCTCAAAGCTAACCCCAGGCATCTGCGGCTCCCCATGCACTAGCTCCAGAAACAAGCAGTTAGTTACTTCTCAGGGGTCAAGGTCTCCTCCAGGAACTCCTCGATCTTATTGACGTCTGTCTTCACATCCCCGTTGAAGGTCAGGAAGGGCGGGTGGGTGCCAGGGGCTAGGTTGTGCAGGTCAGCCGGCTTTCTGTAGAGAGAGCAAGATTCAGGTGTTGGCTTACACCAGGGAAACCTAAGATTTATTGCAAATGAGGCTCCCTGTGCTATCCAACATACCCATTGGCAAAAAATCAGATCTGCACTGTGGGGTGCAGGGCAGGGAGGGTGGACAGAATTCTGAAGGAACGAGGTGCAATGTAGGAAACCTGTTCTGGGGAAGGTAGGGAGCGGGGAGGGAGTCAAGATGAGGAGGTGGAGAGCATCACAGGCCTGTATCTCACTCAGCTCCAAGCTTTCGTTCCCTGAGGGAGCAGCTGGGTTTTGGTTTCAGAACTTCTTTCACTAATAAGCCTAAGAAAAATAACTTTAGAAACTACTGAGTTGGATCCTATTTTGTCATCAGAAATATTTTCAAATACCAGAGGAAAAAAATGTTTGGAAGTTTGGACCATCTGTTCAAGTTGGAGTAGCCTTAGCCTCTGGAACTTACATTTTCATACCTAATAACCAGGGTCCAACATTGTTCAGTCTGTTGCCAGATTCACAAGAATTTTTTTTAAATCTACAAACAGCCCATGATATGGCCTTCAGTTAGCCATGAAAATAAACAAAACTATTAAATAGAGACTATGGGATCGACATTGTGGCATTGAAGGCTAAGCCTCTGCCTTGGCTCCGGCATCCCACATAGGCACTGGTTCATGTCCTGGCTGCTTCTCTTCTGATCCAGCTCTCTGCTATGGCCTGAGAAAGCAGTGGGAGATGGCCTAAGTCCTTTGGTCCCTGCACCTGCGTGGGAAACCTGGAAGAAGCTCCTGGCTCCTGGCTTCGGATCAGCCCAGCTCTGACCATTGCAGACACTGGGGGAATGAACCAGTAGATGGAAGACCTCTCTCTGTTTTTCCCTCTGTCTGTAATTCTGCCTCTCATACAAATAAATAAATATATTTTAAAAAAATAGAGACTACAATGCTTTTTATTGCTACATTTTGAACATGGACATACTGTAAATCCTCGTGAAAACTCATGGGCTTATGTCTGACAGGCCCAAGTTCAATATTATTTCTTACAAAATGGCATTTAGGCCACCACCAAGAATTCCGCATGAAGAACCTCATGGTACTGGGTAAGAAGAAGCCTAGGAGAAAGCCTTACAATTCAAGATACATGAGAGGTGCAAATGTTTTTGTACAAAAATAAACTTATCTTTTAATTCCATTTACCACAAACTTTTTTTTTTTTTGAGATTAACTTATTTGTTTGAAAGTCAGAGTTAGAGAGAGAGAAGAGGAAGAGGGAAATATTTTCCATCTGCTGATTCATTCCCCAAATGCTGGCTACAATGGCCAGCTGGGCTGGGCTAGGCTGAAGCCAGGAGCCAAGAGCCAGGAGCCAGGAGCCAGGAGCCAGGGGCTTCATCCAAGTCTCCCATGTGGGTGGTAGGGGCCCAAGAACTTGGGCCATCTTCTGCTGTTTTTTTCCCAGCTATTAGCAGGGAACTGGATGGGGAGTGGAACAGCTGGGACGTGTGACCCAGTGCCCAGGTGGGATGTCAGTGTCACAGGTAGCAGGTAGCAGCTTTACCTGCTGCACCACAACACTGGCCCTCATTTAATAGCTAGCAAATTCAGTCCCTAAGGAGACAGAGAGTGTCTCAGTGTACCTGGAAAGAATCTGAATCAGGCACTGAGAGAGATGTAAGCTAACTAAAGCCAATAGTGCAGCCCCCGACCCCACTGCAGGGAAGAAGAGAGATAGATGTTCTAAATTATCCAGACAGAAAGATTCAGATGATGGAGAATAGGGTGAAATCCTGGAACACTGGTCCAACGGGATGAATGAACAGTGGATGGGTGGATGCACAGAACTTTGGGGTCCCTGCCCACAGCGATGCTGAGTGGGGTTCCTGGTTCGCTGCGGGGAGCAAACAGACCACCTGTGAGTAGGGACTTCCTGTTGCTGGAGCATGAAGGAGTCACCTTGTGTTTGACAGGGGCCCAGTTCAGGGTGTGTGCCTGAGATTCGGCCAGCTGCTCAGAATGCCAGAGCAAGGATGGAGCGAAGTGAGGGGAGAAGGGCTGGCAGGTGCGGGGACTGGGGAGGGAGAGGGGATGGTGGCACCAAGAAAAGAGTAAGGAAGAGGAGAAAGAAAGACGGAGACTTCCATGGGCAGGGCCTGAACTCAGATCACCCCTGCTGCTCTCTCCCAGCATGCAACATTTCTTGTGGGAGCTGGGCGTGGAAAACATTTGAAGGAGGAACTGTCAAAAAGTAAACAATGGGAGTAGAGGAGGCTGGAATGAAACAAATTCCTGGCGTAAGCAGCTTGGGAGGGGACAAGAAGAATTTCAATTAGGGTGCGACTCCCAGGTCCTGCTCTGACCCACACCCTCTCCCTGCACATTCTGTGGCACTTGGTGGAGCCAGGAAAAGTGTTTAAAGCCTGACTGGCTTGGTCCCTTTGTTTACCTTGTGTGTGTTCTGCATTTCAGACGACCAAAGGACATTCTTTACTTGTTCCTCCCACGTGGGGAGCAGACACAGATCAGCAATGCTGCCTTCTCAACAGCAAGGGGGTAATCTACGCTGATGTAAGTTCTCTGTGGTTACCTCTCTGGGGCAGAAAGGTACAGTGTGTGGTGGCGGTGGCAGCAGCAGCAGTGGCTGTGTTTTCCCTGGGACGCCAAAGAAGCACGGCCAATAGATGCCCTTGGGAAGTACAGCCTACGGCTGCTGCAGCTCAACAGGGCGCTCCAGTCGGGTATAACCCTCTTTTAGCAAACCATCCCCCGCCTTCAGCATTTATACTTGAAATTATATCATTAGCCTTGAATTTCACAGTGCGAGGGCTCATTTTATTATTTAACGCGCATCTGTCTTCCTTTCCTGACTGGGTCGCTCGCCAGTTCCATGAGTGCAGCAATAATTGCAGCAGCAGCCAACGTGAAGGGAGCACTTGCTATGGCCAGGAGCAATGCTGTCCCCTCCCCAAGTCCCCACTGCAACACTGTTGATGAAGAAGGCATTGCTTTATCTCCCTCATCCAGGTGAGGTCACAGAAGCCCAGAAAAGCTCAAGGTCACTCAGCCATAAATGGTGTTGCCAGGATAAGAAATCAATTTTCTGCTTCTTTCTCCATGAGACTGGAGTGGTGCCACCTGCCCGCTCTACCTCACAGGGATGTTGGTAGGATCAGATGGGGGAATGAGGAAGGGCAAAAAGAGCCTCTGAAGAATGTGGGGTGGCCCTTTTCCCACTCTGACCTGAATGGTTGAGTCCACCCTTTCAGACAATAATCCAAAGACCTCTGATTCTCCAGTGAAGGAAGCAGTTCTTCCAGCTGTACAAAGGCATCCTGCCTTTTTGCTTTCACAGACAATGATTGCCTAGCAGGTGCACCTGCATGTATTTGGCAGGTAGTGGTTGAGGTCACAGGAAGGGTACAAGGTAACCCAACACAGGAGCCTAGCCTGTCCTTGAGGGATTCAAAGTCTCATATGGAAGACAACACAAACTTCATAACTGATGTTTGAGAAGCATAGTGTTTGAACCAAGGTTCCTAGTAGCAGCCTCTTGGGCACTTTGGGCAAATCATTGCAATGTGTATGCTTCAGTTCCTTGTACAAAATGGAGAATAGTGACCTCCTTCACAGGATTGGACCTTATGTGATTGTTTTATTTACGGGGAAGCACTCATGGGTTGTAAGGCATTAGGACTGCAGATACCATAACTGGGTGAGGTGCTAACTCACAACACAAGGCAACCTGGACAGTGTGTACTAGGTGGGGGTGGAGGGAGTGGTGGGGGTGGGTGAGAAGGCCTCAGTGAGTAGGGGGGACTGATGCTGAGCATGGGGCTCAGATGAGGAGAGGAGCTGTTTTAGATAGAGGAAGCATCCCAGCTGAGGGCTAGATTCTAGAAGGAACAAGAACAGAAAGTAGGCCAGCCTGCCAGGTACAGAGGTCACAGTGAGAAGTGCTGAGAGACACTTGGGGGCGGGACCAAAAAATGATAGAGAACAGCTACAGCTTTGGGTACATTTGTTCCAGAGGCAATATGTGTTTCTGAGCAGGGGAGCCTTTTGGTTAAAGCTCTATTTTAAGGGCCACAACTTTAGGATGATGTAAAGAATGGATGAGAGAGAGAGAGAGAGAGAAAGGGAGAGAGAGAGAGAGAAGAAAACCTGGAAGGAGGAAGACCAGTCAAGTTGGCAGTGGTGAGACCAAAACTGTGTGGCCTTTGAGAACGAAAAACAGAGTGTGGGGGTGAGAGTTGGTACCATGTGAGAATACTCTGGACTCAGCTGCTAATCAAAAATGGAGGTGGCCAGAGAAAGGAGCTGCAAATAGTCCAGTGCCTGGAATCTGGAGGGACATAGGCATTTGGGAGAAGAGTCCAACTCTTAGACAATACAGTCTACAGCCATAACAGAACAGCCAAATGGAAAGACAGGGATAATAAGGAGCCCTGGATACAGATTAATTCAGCTAAAGATGAGGAGGGGATATGCCAAGATCACCTGGGAGGAAGGTTGAAGGCTCAAGGAGTGGGCCACAGCTATTCCACATGTGAAAAACAAGTGGAAGAGAGGAAACAGCATCATGCATTCTGGAAGAGTGGAGAGAGTATGGCTACCGATGCTGAATGATGCCATATATATATATATATATATGCTGATTTTATATACATATATATATATATTCTATCTGTCTATCTATCTATCTATCAATCAAATTTTGAGAGGCTGAAAGAGAGCAAGAGCTCCTACCTACTGGCTCATATTCCAAATGACCTCAATAGGTGGGGCTGAAGCCAGGAGCTGGGAGCTCAGTCCAGGTCTCCCATGTGGGTTTCCATCTCTGCAGCTAGAAGATGGCATAGCAGTGGAGCCAGGACTCCGACCCGGGCACTCCAATAAGGGATGCAGCTGGCCCATCTGGGAGGCCAAATGCCCACGACACACCTCTGGACGATGAAGGGCAAGGCTTTTCCTTGATCCCCAGAGGTTCTCTGTGCCTTGCAGTAAACATATTCCTCACGAATACAGTGTCTTTTACCTTTTCAGGTCCACAGTGGTGACATTGAACACGACTCCTTTCAGCCAAAGGATCATAAAGAGCCGCTGAGAGAAGGGACAGTTGCCAATGCTTTCCCCATCGATTCCAGCCTAGAAAGAGAAGCAGGGTCCTGTGTGAGCACGTGTGTACCAGCAAGAAGCAGGGGGGGCCAAAGCCCTGTCTGCAGAGAGCTTACTGCAGCCCTGTCCCTGCCTGATGGCCAGGGGATGGCCCTCTGTTAGTCATCTTCGTCTTTCTAATGCTTGTGCAGAGCAATTCCTGGCCCTGGGTTAGGGCTCAAAAAACACCTGCAGACTTGAACTTGGGTTTCCAGCAGGATGATTTTGTAGAATCATAACTTTCTTAAACCCTGGAACTTTAGCCTCTTAGGGCAAGAGACTTCCAACATAGTCACATAGTCTAATGCACATGATGCTTACATGTCAAATTTTAACCTCCAAGACACCATCTGGTCTATGCTTAAATTTCTCCATTAACCAATCATTTGTATCTCTCAACCAGTCTGTTGTGGACACCACTCTAACAGTTCTTTCAGTTCTAACAGTGCTTTCCTTTGGCTGTACCTAGCCAAAATATGTTCCTCCAGAGTTCACCCCCTTCCACACTTTGGTTCTCGCTCCATGAGGATATCACGAGTACAAATGCCTCAGATTTTGACCTTGTTTCCCTATATCTAGGCTAGGTAGCAGGCTCAAGGCACCAATCAATAAGCCACCACTTGGTTCCGACTGCTGTAAGCCACTCAATGGTTCAGTTATCCTTTTACTCACCAAATAGCACATTGACTATGGATTGAGTGTAAGGCACTGGAGAAGATGGCCCAGGAGACTTAGAAAGACATTTCTTCAGGGACTCACAGCCTTCTGTGAGGTGGGGTGGGGATGAGGGTCACAGGAACATGTAGGACAGGAATGGTGGCATGGCTGAGCACATGTGGATGGCTCATGTTTCATTTCTCCTTCTCACGGCCCTACTCAAAACAGCCTGTTTTTTGTTTTGCATCTGAAGCATGCATCTCTCTGACTACACTGCTGAGCAGGTGGCAGGACCATGAGTTTTATAAGGAATTTCTGTCAAGTGAAACACATGAGCAAACAAAAGCGGTGCAAGGCCTGGTCTGTGTCCTTCATGCCCGCCGTGTGGCTCCCTGGACCCTGACATGATGCTCAAAGGAAGGAATAACCCATTGGTCATGGCCTCTGATGCTGGCTGCCCTGGACACCATCTGCTGGCCGTGCCGGGGGGGGGGGGGGGGCTCTGCTGACAGGGGCCACAGGAGGGAAGGTACCTAGGCTTACTTGCAAAGCTGCAAAAACTCCCAGGGACACTCAGAAATGATTACTCACTAACATTTTTTTTTTGAAAGTAAAGAAGAAAAAGAAATGCATACCCAAAGCCCAATTCTCGCCCTGGGGTGTGTTTTGCTGTGGCATTCAGATGGGGAGGCACCACATGCTGTGCCCATTTGGAGAGTGAACCAGTGGATGGGAGACCTTTCTGTCTCTCTTTCTCACTGTAACTCTACTTCTCAAATAAATAAATTCTCTCTCTCTCTCTCTCTCTCTCTCTCTATATATATATATATATATATATGTAAAGGAAATGGAGCAGTCTAGATTCCAACAAGCCCTTGGATATGGGATGCTGGCATTGCAAGCCACAGCCCAACCCACAGTACTGCAATGCTGGTCCCCCTTTTGTGCTTTTAACGATGATGAGTCCAAAGAGATTTTGCTTATGTGATTTATGGCTCTCAATATTCACCATACAAGAGTACTTCAAAAAGCTGTGGAAAAGACAAGTTTATGCTTGTGCAAAATGTTTTTGCAATGCATGCACAGTTTTTTCATAATATGTACTTTATTTCTTTTTCTTTTTTTAGATATTTATTTATTTGAAAGAGTTACATAGAGAGAGGAGAGGCAGAGAGAGAGAGATAGAGAGAGAGAGAGAGAGAGATATCTTCCATCTGCTAGTTCACTCCCCAATTGGCCGCAATGGCTGGAGCTGTGCCAATCTGAAGCCAGGAGCTAGGAATTTTTCCAGGTCTCCCACATGGGTGCAGAGGCCTAAGGACTTGGGCCATCCTGTACTGCTTTCCCAGGCCACAGCAGAGAGCTAGATCAGAAGTGGAGCAGCCGGGACTCGAACTGACGCCCATATAGGATGCTGGCACTGCAGGTGGCGGCTTTACTTGCACGCCACAGCGCCAGCCACAATATAATATGTATTTTCCATAAACTTTTTGAAGGAACTTTATATGCATGAATTTCAAATATTTTTTGCACCAAAGCAAACTTATGATTTAATTCCATTTTCCACAAACTTTCTAAAGCACTGTCATATATGTAAGCCAAATGATGAGAAATTTTGAAATATGTACTCATTTATTTAAATGTTGTAATAATGAACATGTTTACATGTTAATGCAAGTAACATTTTAGTATAAAACAACTATCTTTTCCGAAAACAAAAGAAATTTAATGAGAAGAGTGGCATTGTTTTACATTTTTATATGATCTTTTTATCTTTTAAAGACTATTTATTTGAAAGGCAGAGTTACAGAGACAGAAGGAGAGGCAAAGAATGAGAGAGAGAGAGATTTATTTTCCACATGCTGGCTCACTCCTCAAATAGTCACAATGGCTAGGGCTGGTTCAGTCTGAAGCCAGGAGCCAAGCATTACATTGGGTCTCCTATGTGGGTGCAGGTGGCCAAGCACTTGGACCATTCTCTGCTGTTTTCCCAGATGCATAAGCAGGGAGATGGATCATAAATAGAGCATCTGGGAAAAGAACGGGTATCTATGTGGGATGCCAACATTGTGGCTTAACCCGCTACACTACATGCCAATCTTTAATTTTGATTAATTTTTACAAGATCTGGCTTAATAAAAGCTGGCTTATGCATTTGAAAATATTTGGTCTCACACAGATATGTTGCTGGCAATAAGAGAGGAGTATTTTGATGGTCTTTTCATATAACATTGGATATTGCTTTTTTTTTTTGGGGGGGGGGGTCAGGCAGAGTTAGACAGTGAGAGAGAGAGAGAGAGAAAGGTCTTCCTTCCATTGGTTCACCCCCCCAGATGGCCGCCACGGCCCGTGCGCTGCGACGACCTGAAGCCAGGAGCCAGGTGTTTCATCCTGGTCTCCCATGTGGGTGCAGGGCCCAAGTACTTAGGCCATCCTCCACTGCCTTCCCGGGCCACAGCAGAGAGCTGGCCAGGAAGAGGAGCAACCGGGATAGAATCCAGCGCCCCAACCAGGACTAGAATCCGGAGTGCCGTTGCTGCAGGCAGAGGATTAGCCTAGTGAGCCGTGGCACCAGCCTAGATGTTGTTCTTTAACAGCACATCGAAACTCAACAAGTAGCAGTTTCTTAAAGGTGGATACATAAGAACAATTTGAAACCATGTACATGCAATTTTTTCTGTCCCACTAAAACTAACCTACCAAACTTGTACTTGTTTTTCCCAGGAATGATTTTTGTAACATATGAATTTTTCATCTGGAAAATAGTGTTTCATTGAGTTATGCAGATTTTCACAGTGCTACACATTTCATTGTAATGTGTGTGTATGTGTGTGTGTGTGCAATTTCATTGATTAGCATCACCACCAATATCATAAGAAAAACTTAAATATAAGAAAACTAATGGTGGCAGATATATGCTTTCCAAAATTCCAATTTCCTTTTGAAAGCTTGCATTTTATCATTGGTAATAAATACTTCCAAGTAATGTCCTTGAAATGACAAGCTTATTTCACTGATTTTCCAGTTGGTGTCTGACAAGTACTAAGTCTCAGTGGCCATAGCGTGTCTCTCTGTCAGGTGCTCTTTCAGATAAGAACCGTGCTCTGTGAAGGAAGCAGCCGGTTCAGTGGACAGCTGGGCTGCACAGCGCTTTTTTCTTCAACAACCATTGTACTTTGGAATACAGCCGAAGAGCTTGTGTGCATTTCCCATTCCATCAGCAAGAATATTTGACAGACATGTATGCAAGGGTTAGGATTTAATTACATTATATAATTTTTACTGCTTCATCAGGGGCATTTATAGCCTAGGCTGACTTTTTTTTTTTACATGATGACTACTGGTGCCCTTTCTACATTGCCTGGATTTGTGCTGAAATATCAGCTGTTTTATCCATGAAATGCCAACCCCAGAGACAGAAGCACACGATCTTAATTGTGCTTTGAAAATAATTGTGACCTCTGAGAACCCTTGAAAGCCTCTTGGGGCCCCCTGAGATCCAAGAAAAACATGGGAGAACTGTTGGTTTAAGACATCCCCTGATGAAACTCGGCATGCAGAGCTTGGTTTCCAGACCATGAGGGGAAGCTGATAATTGGCCAAAAGCCATGGGAAGGTCCCCAGGTCTGGAAGAGGGAAGACTTACTCCAAGAAGATCCAAGAAGGAATAGCAGGAAATAATCAGGTGACATTTAAGCTTGTGTCAGTTAATGATCTATCGCCTCTCAGCTCCAAATTCACTCTTCAATGCAGGCTTTGTGAGAACGGGGAGCATGTCTTTACAAATGTCTCCTCTGGGGGTGGGTGCTGTGGTGCAGCCAGCAGGATAAGCTGCTGCTGAGACACCTGCATCCCATATCTAAGGGTTCTGTTGAGTCTGCTACTCTGCTTCTGATCCAGCTTCCAGCTAATGCATCCTGGCAGGCAGCAGATGGTGGCTCAAGTGCTTGGGTCCCTGTTACCCACATGGAAGACCTGGTTAGAGTTCTGGGTTCCTGGCTTCAGCTCCGGGGCTGCTGCAGGTATCTGGAAAGTCAATGGAGGATCTCTCTCTCTCTCTCTCTCTCTTTCATTCTGCCTTTCAAATAGCTGAAAATAGATGAACAAAAATTAAAAAATATATATCTCCTTAGGTAAGTATTTGGCCAATTGGTTAAGATACTGTTTAAGATGCTTAAATCCCATGGTGGATTGCCTGACACCTACCTCTAGCTCCTGACTTCAGCTTCCTTTTCATACAGAGCCTGGGAGGCAATATTATTGGCTCAAATAATTGGGTCCCTGCCACCCATATAGGAGGCCTGAATTGAGTTCCTGGTTCCCAATTTTGGCTT